ATCAGCTGGTTCAAGTGTTGATTACGATCTGACTTTTCCAGAAGATATTAATTGAAAGAGTAGGAAATCAGCAGTAAAATAGGGCTTCCACTACATTTGCATAAAAAATATTCAATAAATTAGCTCTTACACATACAAAAAAAAATCAAAAAGCCTACTTAGCATTTAATAAAAACACTTATAAAATATTTGTCATATCCATAAAGTTTATTTTAAAAAATTGTTAAAAACTAACCATACAGGAATATTTAATATACTTAAAAAGCCTGATCCCCATGTTGAAGGAAAATACATTTGCAACATCTTCCAGACATCATCTTTATAAAAGTAAAACTTCTAGATGCTGAAATGTACTACAGTAGACTCTATAGTTTACACTTTTAATCACAGGATTGGAATTCTGTCTTCCTATCCCCCACCCCAGTGTGGCAGTTATCACTCTTAAGGTAATGACATTCAGTCATGTAATATCACCATAGGTCCTTAAATAGAGTACACACTGCTTATTTACTAACAGAGCAAGTCTTCTCTATTTGCTGTCACATAATTATTTCAAATAACCATTTCATTTAAATACAAATAAAAATACTACACGCCATGATTGTAAACATTCACCAAGAGCTTCCAGAGTACAATGAGTGACAGGGGTGGCCCACGTGTTCCTCATCCGTCTGGACACTGCTGAGATTGGGAAAAGTTGTTGTGAAGACAAGAATTACAATAAGCCTTCGTGTATTTCCGTAAGAAAGTAGTTCTGCATATATATTTCTAGCTGAAAACACCTGAAAGTCATTCTAGAGACTACATAATTAAGCACCATTTCCACTTACCTGAAACATAGTTAAATCCAGCAGTACGTATGATCATAAATCTTAGAAATTAAAAGTAACAGTGGGTCTCCAGTTCCCTTCTGTGGATATACAGGAAATACTGAACTCCGACTGATACTAACGGGAACCACTCATGCATACCAAGGGCAGTTAACTCCCCAGGGCCACATGCAACCCATACAGCTGAGGCACAACTATTACTTCTGTCCATGGATGCTACACAAGCAGATTTAAGGCTGTATTCGGCTACAGAGTTCAGTCTTCTCTTTTAATGTTCTTTCAATATAGACCACATACATGATTCAAAATTTTGTAGGATGGGAGGTGAAAAGTCCCCAAATAATTTTTTAAATGCCATTCCCCTTACAATTCATTGTCAGCATATTTACATAAGGGATTGGAAAGTATTCATACTTAAAACCATTTTTAAAAATGCAGTTGGGATTTTCAATTTCCCAAGGATTATCCTCATTTTCATCTTCTGAATTTTGGCTGACTTCACATCTGTCAGATTGTTCACTGCAGTTCTTAGGCAAATCTCATGTTGTTTCCAAGAATAAGAAATTTAAAATATTCACTGCCACCCACTTTGGGACAGGCTTGGTTGCAGAGAAAACGGCGTTCCCGGTGTTGAGGGGTAACTTGGAAAGCCGTCAGGCTGAGCTGGATAGCTTTCCAGAGCTGAAGCTGAATGAACCTGAGTGAAAAAGCACACAGTTTAGCAGAATGTTTAATTCAAGCAACTCTGTGCTCGCTTTCGCCCATGGTATGCTAGATAAAGAAGGAAAGCACAAAGTTGGGCAAGATAAGTCTACTCAGTCTCTCACGTTTCAAAAGCCGTGGTCAAACTTCTTCAGAACTTAGAAATACCATTTAAATATGTACTATTCTTGCAGGTAAAACCCATTAGTTTTCTAGTGACAATTTTCTTTAATGGGGCGAGGGATATAGCTCAGTGGCATAAGCGCAAGGTCCTGAGTTCGATTCCCGGTACCAAGAAAAAAAATTTTCTTTAATGATTCATTATAGCTTAAATAGAAGACAAGTTAAAATATAACTGTCTTAAAAAGATTCCATTTTAAGTAAAACCTACAAATCAAGATTTAAAAATCTGCAAGTGTGAAAAATAAGTCATATAGCTGACTTCGTCCTAACCTGTTACTCTTCTATAAAGAACACAAGTATAATTTGCCAATTTTGGGAAGAACTAAGCTACTTTTTGCCCATGCTGGAATATCAGTATCACTACCAGAATGCACTAGGATTTTATTTACACCAGACACTGCCTGCTCACCTGCTGTAACAATGCTGACTGTGCAGCTGCATTATGCTGTAATTCTTGCAAGGACGACTGTGAAGGATTCTGGGAAAACCCAGGGATACCTGGGAGGGACAGAAGGCCTGGAAAAGCAGAGCTGCCTGCAGCTTGGAGTCCAGATGATAAACTACAATTGACATAAAAACAGGTCAAATTGCAGATAAGACAGATTTGCTTATATCTTTGTCAGGTAGTATTTTAAGATGCACAAAACAAAACAAAAACAGAATCTATCCCTTGATGAAAGGAACCAGGAAATCAGTCACTCAATTTCAATTAAAATAACTCTGCATTCAACAAATCTGTTTTACATAGTACTTTCTGCTATAAGCAAATTACCAAATACAGATTCTCTTTTGAAAAGAACTATAACATCAGCCACTCAATTTCTATTAAACTGTATTATTCTGAATTTAGTAAGTCTATGGTTTACTTAATAATTTCTGCTATAAGGAAGTTAAATTACCGAATACTAAGTCCTAAAATTGTGAATAAGCATAATATTTATATATTTATCTTAGAGCCATGAAATATTTTTCAGCACTGAAGTTTTGGTCCAGAAAAACTTAATTTAGGATCACCAAATAATTCAATTTTGACTTTCACTTGAATAACAGAGGACCGTGAACTAAACTTAGGTGAAAACAATTTTCAGTTTGAGTACTGAAATCCTATTTGCAAACCATTCACGTACCCAGCTTGTGCAACAAGAGCAGAGTTGAAATTAGAACTGAATGCTGAAGCGAATCCTGGGAGGACGGGTGCTGGTGAGGGAGCTGTGGCTGCAACAGGCAGAGGTGTGACGGCTGTGACTGTGGAGGGCGCCTGCAATCCCGGGAATGAAGGGAGTGCAGGGGCGACACTAGGGGCGTTAGAGACGGAGAAGCCGGGGTAGGAAGGGTTGGAAGAGGGTAGCGGTCCTTGGGTGACGGAGAAGAGGGAGGGCACAGCAGTGGACAAGTTGAGGGGGAAAGGTGCTGCCGAGACCGGCGCTGAGGCGGAGAGCCCTGAGAGAACAGCTGCGGTAGAGCTGGGAGGAGGCATGGCTGTGGAGGTGGCGGAGCTGGAAGAGGTGGTTATCAAGGACCCTGGAAGAGACACGGATGGGTTCAGAGAGGGGCTGCCGGGTAATGGAAAACTGTTGGTCAAAGAAGTAAAGGGAGGAAGAGCAGTGAATACTGGAGCGATAGGAGTGGAGGCGGCATGCGGCGGAAGGGAGATGGAGGAGAGGGGATTTGAACCGTTTAAGGGAGTACTCAAACTGGAGAGGCCTGACAGTGCAGGATTAAGGCAAGTGGATAAACTGATGGGCACTGATGCGGGAGTGTACGCACGGCCCAGTGTCCCTGACAAGCCTAAAGTGCCACACGGGGGATTCGCGGAGTGAGAGGGGCCTTTGAAGGCAGAGGGAGTAGGACTGGTGGGCTCAGTTTTGATCATAACAGGAATAGTTGTCACAGCAGGGGCGGGTGAAATGTGCAGGTCTGAAGGACCCGGGTGGGCGCCGTGCAGGAGGGCAGCTGAAGAGCCGCAGCTCCCCGGCACTGATGCCGACGAGGATGTGGCGGTAGCCAAAGGAGACTGCACGGGCAGCGCAGGGGCAGTGGTGGTCGAGGCAGCCACAGGGGACGGCAGGCCCGGGAACAGGGCCAGCGCAGGAGTGGAAGACCTCTGCGAGACAGGAAGGGCTGACGGGGCGTAGCACTTGCTAGGGGCCGAGGCAGGAGAATCAGAGCTCTGATTAGTAAGAGAGGATAACGAAGCCAGCCCACTTGTCACAGCAGGCGACAAACCCGAGGAGTTGATTAAATTGGTGTCATTTGACGTCAGAAAGCCTTTTAAAGCGGACAGAAGAGGATTATTTATCCCAAGTGAACCAGCAACACTGGGAGCAGAACCGCCAGTAATCAGGGAAGCGGCTGGGTTGGACACGCCCTGGGAGGCTGGCGCTAAGGGCAAAGGGAGACCCGCAAACACTGACGACAACGAGGCGGAACTGGGGTTACTGGTAGCAGCGGCGGTAGTGTTGGTGGAAAAGGAGAGGCGGGCGTAAGGGGCCGAAGTGGAAGCAAACGTTTCACTGGAAGCAAGAGTGGAGCGAGGTGTAGACGAGGCCTGAGGGGCCAGGGCTGGAGGAGCAGAAGGGCCCGGCAATGGCACTAGACCAGAAAAAATGGAAGGAACAGGAGCAGAGGTTGTACTGTGCATGGAAGTTATAGGTGCAGTAGGCAGCGCCAGGGTCCTGATCACTGTTGGGTTTGGCATCGATGGCTGAGGTGTGTGGATGGCGGAGGAGACCTGCCCGGGGAACACAGGAAGGACAGCGTTCGGTACATTCATTCCGGCAATGGTGGCAGCCGCTGACGCTGAGGCGTGATTTGCTGCCTTGACTGGCGATGCGGTGGGGACAGGAGTGGCAGCAGGTGTTGAAGGATTAGAACCATGCGGTGAAAAGAGTTGACTTGCTGGGGTGGAAAATGCTGTGGGAGAAAAAAAGGGCAAGAATTTATCATCATACCAAAATGTCCCATTTGAACTCAAAAGAAATGCACAATTTTTGACATATTTCACAAATATCAAAGTAAAGCAAGGCCAGGTACAATCAGCTCTTGTAATATCTAAACTGCTGACTTCCATTACCCTGATTTGTTAGAGCCATGTTCTTAAGTTCAAAAGGAGAAACAAAAACTAATTCCTTAATCATGTTCAAGTAGCACAGCGTAAGTAATCAAAGTAACTACTATTACCAGTGGTACTGTGACATTTGGTCTGGTTATCTACCTCCTTCCAAATAGACTGTTGATGAGGTAAAACAGAAGACTGAAGTTTCCTTCACTTCCCTTTTATAGAAGTTAAAAGACCTGTTCAGGGTTACAAAGCTAAGTAGTTACAAAGACAAGATAAAAAAACTAGACTTCCTGATGTGAGAGACCAGATAAGAAGACTGAGGTCTAACTGGCCTCTCTGGAGCACCAGAGAGAAAGGTGGGCCTAAGTATGTGCTGACGCACTGCAGAAAGAAATTAATGCAGCAGAGATCCTATTGCTTATTAGGATAGACACCATCGACAGTGGAAGATGAACCCTGTTTTATTGATTGCCTGTGCCTGTGTCTCAGTGAATACGCCAGGGTGCGCCAGTCACTCGGGGATCTTCGTCTCAGGGAGGCAAGAGCCCCCGGTCCTCATTTTAACCTAATGCTGTGTGTCTTTGTGTTTCATCTTTGTCGCCCTTGGTCCAGGTACAAGCTCGCAGGTCGGCCCCCAAATCCTGACATCTTACGTAGCGTTCTTTCTACCCTACTCTGCTACCGCCTTCAGAAACCAGCTCACAAGGACTCATTAGGCACCAGCCTCAGGGAAGGGAATTTTCCCACTGAGACTCGTAACCATGTGCTGTAATAATTAGACTTGTGTACTACTCTGCCGTACAAGAACTGAAGCCTGGATCTGTCCCACGCCAGAAGGCACCTCCTTCCTGGTCACACACCCTCCACTAGGGGTGGTGAGATGCGTAAGTGCTGCTGCCACTCGGAGGCTCCACCGGGCCGTACTTCATTTCCAATCCTACTTTCTGCCCTGGTGCCTTTTATCGTTTCCACCTGAAGATATGCTCATAATACGTACTGAAAAAATGAAATCTAAAAGTGGAATCTGATCTACCATGTGTCAAGGGCTTTTTACCATCCTGGATGCTTATGTCAGAAAAGAAATGAAGCTTCCAAGATCAGAGTACAAAATATGGATATAGATACTAGGTAGCACTGAGACTTCACTTCAAGTTTTACAAACAGGATATAAAGTTATAAGATTAATTTCAAATCCACTTAATATGTGCATTTCATGGTGATAAAACATAGCACTATCAGGCCATTTTCAGTGAGTTTTGATTATATCCTTTCCCAAGAACTTTGCCTACAACATCCCAAATACATTCAACTCGATTTGTTCTCAGTGAATAACAAGGCATACAACCATGACAGATATCAGTGATCTCTAGATCAAATATGGTACGTACTTACTTTGATTCTGTGCAGGTTTTGACTGGGTGGAAAGATCTTCATTTTCTATGTAAAAGTAAATAAATAAAAATTCATTTCAATTTTAATAAAATTATTCAACATATTAAGAATCAGAAACAGGTGTCAAAAATGAATAAACAGAGTTAGAAACACAATGTATGTATACAAAATAAAAATCATAAATATATGAACACTGTGAACTATAAATGATTGTTTTTTTCTCCCTCCACCCTGTCCAATTCTGCTGTCCTCCCCTTAACTTGTTCGGTTTTAAATATGCACTGTAATTTCATAGATAAACTTAACAACCCTTTCTGGAAAGACACTGGCCTGAGTGTGCCATCCGGGACAAAGTGCAGCCGGGGCTAGAGTCAGGGCAGACACTGAGCTCACAACCCACTGAGGGCGGGACTACGCACAAGAGCAGAAGACTTCGGGAAGTAGGGGTGGTGCTGTGTGAATGAGCACCATCTACTGCCTTCTGAGTGAGAAAGAAGACTGAAAGCAAATCACTATAAAAGTAATTAGAGAATATGTAAGACATGTTAACTGTTGAGGCAGGGAAGGGGATCTGAAGCAAGCCACAAAACTCAGAAGAGTCAAATAAACTGATCTAAATAAAATTCAAACTTCTGTAGAAAGATACACCCAAAGATGTAAGCTACATTATTCTAGCAGACTGGCAAAGTTAAAAACTAGTAACGTCCCATGTGGAAAAGGTGTGAAGAAATTGCTCATATGCGCTCTCGTTGGTGGCATAAACTTGCACAGGGTTTTTGGAGAACAGCTGGTAACGTACTAAAGAACATTAATTCTTCATATTGCATGTTCCCAACAGTGTCAAAGAAAAAGAGAGATGAGATGTGCTGGAAGTATCAGCCCTTCTAACCTTTTCACAAGCCCTTCTTCCCCAGGGTGGCCAAATGGCATTTGTACTTCTTCATGACTTGTCAGATTGTCCTTGAGAAATGGTTTTCATGACAAACTGCCTGTGTTTCCACATGTGCTCCAAGGGCACCAAGTGGAACCTTAATGCCATTCAAAAGTGAAGGGGTCACCATGTTACCTGGCAGTGGAACTCGGGCTATAGTAGGCTAGACTGTAGCTCCCTCCCCTCTTGTCAGGCATGGGATATCCAACCCACCTCCTTCACACCGATCACTACCCTCAGCATGAACTGCCTTACAGCAAAGAATGCTTTGCTCAACTCTCTAAGTATTCATCTGGTAATTCCAGTTTCTCCACAGCTCCTTTGGTGAATCAGACAACATCTGCCCTAAGTGTCCAAAAATTCTCAATAAAGATTTAGAGGTAGAAAGAGCCTTAGCTCTCTTCAATTTGGTAGTTAACAGAAACCCTTGAAAAAAACCCAGATACTCTGATTCTTTTGGGATTGTTTGTGTGCAGATCACAGTATTTCTCAAACTTGCTTGAAGATAAAAATCACCTGGAGATCATTTAAAAATAAAGACACTCCCCCTTAAATCACTGATGCCCAGTCTCCGAAGTGGGGAACGGAGGATACTTTTAACAAATACCTACTAGTGGGCTGGGGATTTAGCTCAGTGGCAAAGCGCCTGCCTGGCAAGCACAAGGTCATGAGTTCGGTTCCTGGTACCGGAGAAAAACCAAAAAAATAAAGAAAATTAAAAAATAAAAAAAAACAAATACCTAGTAGTTCTGGGCCACAGAAAAACCACCTCATTGTCACCTTGCCATTCTTCATACAATGTTTTATTTCCAGTCTGTTCTTAGCCATTTCTTGAACTTAACTCAGTTAAATGAGAGGTACACCACTGAGTCCACACACTTTAGCAGTACCTTATATAAGCAGTTCACTTTTATTTTAGCAGGACTAGTCGGATCCCCCTCCTGTGAGTATCCACAGCACATGTACATGGTCACAGCACTGCGTATTTCTATCTTCTCTCTCAAAATCTAAGATGTCATTTGCTGTAAACCACATTCCAATTTTAGGAAAATTAAACCATAAGTAAATGTATAATTTAGAACTAATGAAGTGCCATATACTGAAATTGTCTTGCTTTCCTAACCTCTACATTTCACTACTTTGCAAAGTTTTTGTACAAGAACAGGGTTGTTTGTGTACCTTGAATCCCCAGCATAAAACACACTGTAAGGTCATCAATATTAAATGAAAGTAGGACTGATTACTATTTACTTAGTTAAGTGGTAGGATCTTGCAAAGTTGCCCAGAGCAGCCTCAAATTTGTAACCCTTATGCTTCAGTCTCCCAAGTACTGGGATTACAGGTATATGTTACCATGCGCAGCAGAACAGTATTATTAAAATATTACTCTATATTACAAATAGGAAAATGGAAGCCCATCAAGACTATGAACGCTGCCTGGTGCGACCAAGGATTCACACTCAGACTTGTCAGACTACTGAACTTGTGCTCCCACTGCTAGGACACACCACACTACACAACTGCCCCATCCCAGTGGATGTTTGTGTACGAATAAGTTACTTATTTTACCACCGCATAATAAGATGACTTTACCTGTTCCTACTGGATTAGGAGTATATGGAGGTGGAGGGGGTACACCTGGAGCTATGACATTGGCTAACGGTACCAGACCTGCATTATTGTAAGCACCTAAAGTAAAAATATAATAAGAAAAAAATACACACAATTTAGTATCACTCTGTGGCCAGCAGTTCAAACTGTATTACTGTAGCGCTCTAATCTATATTAATACTGTCATAGAGAGTTGGCTTTTAAAATGGAAATTAGAGTCTAAGGTTACGTGAAAATAGAGACCAGTGAGACAACAGGTAATTACTACTCCACTGGGTGCCACACCAGGCATAATAAGCTCAGTGAACGGCAAGGCAGGCAGCATCTGCCATACTTGAAGTCAGGAATATGCACCTGACTCTTAAATGCAGTAATACTTCACATCAAACACCATTTAGCAAAGTGAAAACCCGTGACAATAAATGAATAGAAATAATGTGCAATTAATTTACCAGAAGGAAAATACCGAGTAAACGGACAGCTGCAGTAGCTACTAGCTGCTGCACACTAGCAGCCGGCTGTGGGCAAAATCGAACTCTCATAAACTTCATAAGGGCTGCAGATTCCCTAAGCACCAACTCTAGTACTTACTTCCAATTTAATAAACACATAGTGAAAAAAAAGTAGAAATGAAAGGACTCCTTACTTGGTGCAATAGTCGCATGTGGCCGGCACGGAGGTATTGGGTAAGGAACAGGTTTATGTGGATTGTACGTTGAAGGAGGCTAGGTAAGGGGGAAAGGTACAGCAGTTAGCAGAAAAGCAAATAAGCTGTCTTCTGGTAAAACAAAATAAAATTTATCAAAATGTTTAGTCTTAAAACTGCTATATACTAAGACGCGAGACAAATGAAGGAAACATCTGCTTTAAGAAGAGTTGTTTCTATTAAATTCTAAAGGCAGATCCTGCCAAAGAGGGCTGTGTTTATTTCAGAACCCAGTCATCAGCCTTAGGTCCCACGCTACAGAGAAACAGGCATCATTTCCGATCACAGCTCTTCACGGGGATTTCTGCTGCCGCCGCTGCCCACTTGTACCCTGTTGCTTCTCGCCTCTGTTAGCCAAAGACTCGCCTCTCAGCTACTCGCCACAGACACACGAGTAGAAAGTGCAGCTCCATCGGCTGATCTTCACTGGGCTCCCAGTTTAGGTGGCACCAGGCATCCACGATGCCGAAGAATAAGAAGCAGAACGCTCCCTACCACGGTGGCAGTGGTGGTGGCGGCAGCGGCTCAGGGGCGGCTGCTGCGACAGTGGCAACGGCAGGTGGCCAGCATCGAAATATTCAACCTTTTAGTGATGAAGATGCATCAATTGAAACGATGAGCCACTGCAGCGGGTACAGCGATCCTTCCAGTTTTGCTGAAGATGGACCAGAGGTCCTTGATGCGGAAAGAACTCAAGATTTAGAGTACAAATTGAAGGGATTAACTGACCTAACCTTGGACAAGAGTGTGAAGACGTGGCAGGCAGCTCCTGAAGGCATTAAAAATGCACTGGCTTCAAAAATGTTCTATGAATTTATTCTGGAAAGAAGAATGACATTAACCGATAGTGTTGAACACTGCCTGAAAAAAGGGAAGAGCGATGAGCAGCGTGCAGCCGCAGCGTTGGCCTCCATTCTTTGTATTCAGCTGGGCCCTGGCATTGAAAGTGAAGAGATTTTGAAAACTCTGGGGCCAATCCTAAAGAAAATAATTTGTGACGGAACAGCTAGCATCCAGGCCAGGCAAACCTGTGCAACTTGCTTTGGTGTTTGCTCTTTTATTGCCACAGATGACATTACTGAGCTGTATTCAACTCTGGACTGCTTGGAAAATGTCTTCACCAAGTCCTATCTCAAAGACAAAGATGGCAATGGTATTTGCAGTGCCCCTTCCACAGCGCTCCATATCAGCTCGCTGCTCTCATGGACATTATTGCTGACCATATGCCCAATCAGCGAAGTGAAAAGGCTGGAGATGCATTTCCATTAACTTCCAAGCCTGCTTTCTTGTGATGATGTAAACATGAGAATAGCTGCTGGTGAATCCTTGGCACTTCTGTTTGAATTGGCCAGAGAGATGGAGAGTGAACGGGATTTTCCAACAGAAACTGTTAAATTTGGTCCTGAACACGTGTATATTGATACCAGGGTCAAAAAACTCACTTATGACACCTTTAAAGAGATTCTTGGATCAGGGATGCAGTACCACTTGCGAATGAATTACTTCGCAATGTGTTTGAACTTGGACCCCCGGTGATGCTTGATGCTGCAATGCTCAAAACAATGAAGATTTCTCGTTTCGAAAGGCATTTGTACAACTGTGCAGCTTTCAAAGCAGGACAAAAGCTCGAAGCAAATGTCGCGATAAAAGAACAGATGTTGGCGAGTTCTTCTAGATTTTTAGCACTTGATGACTTTTTTCTAATTTCTTTTGCTATTTTTAATGTATATGAGTCTTAGAGACAGTTTTTACCTCGGTCAAGTTATCTTATTTTTGTAGTGGGGAGGTGGATTATATAGTCCTTCCAACTTAATGTACAGTATTGTAAATGACGACTTCTGATTATTGAATGTTCTCTAAATATAATCAGTAAACATGAATAAGGTATAATGTTTGGTCATGTTCTATTTAAAAAACAAGCAAAAAGACTGCATTTCACTTGATTTCATGTTGAAAACAGTTTGATTTCTTATACTGTGCTTGTTAAAATAGTGGCGATTTTAATGATACAAGTACAAAATCATTAACTTAGATCTTACAGACTTGGATACAAGTTTTAGAAGCTAGTTCTAGGGGAAAGCTGCTGTATTTTAAATTTTAAGTGGACTGTACCTATTTCAATTTTTCCACTGGGATAAACAGGAATTATACACTAAAATTTGCAAGCGCTACACTTAAAGGCTATTACTTAATTTTCAGCTGCTGGGAGTTCGGGGCGAGTTAGCCTGGGCCGGAAAGGTTGCTGATCTGAACCTTTCGGGCAGTAATACTCATTTAATCTGCACCATGAGAGGTTGTTCTTATCACTTGGAAATGAAGATCTTTTCACACTGAAGTGCTTGTTTACTTATAGAAGAAACATTTTAGTAACTTAGAGGTATAGAGTTCAAAGTACTCAAGTCAGGTAGGACTGTTGTATATTTGAAAAGTTTAAAATGAAATAAATATAGCAATATAAAATTGGCACCCAAAAAAAAAACAACAGAACCCAGTCATCTCCAATGAAGGGTTGGACCTTATCTTAAATAGGAAACTTCTCTCTGAGCTAGCCTATGTTAGTCCAAGAACTGCTATCTCCTCCTAAGTAATCACACAAAAATAGGGTAATTTAGGAATCTTGCCTACATTAAGAACCCCAATGGGAATATCCTCCTAGACTCATTAGGAATTCAACCTATCACTCTCATCCTTCTTCCTTTTAGGACGGTAAAGGTACTGCTTGCTTTACTATTTGACATTCTGGTAACTCTCACAGAATGTACAATGGAGTAAGAAATTCATTATTTTAGTTCTTTTTTCTTTTGAAATCCACAAATCACACATCCTTTTCTTGACAGTTGGCAGTATTTATGTGAGAACCACAAATACCTGAAGCTAAACCATACTCTGTACATTTAGCTACAGAGAGCACACGCCTTTAGAGTACAAGTGGGAGGGGATGGGTTTATTTCTAAGTCTTAGAAACCACAGCCGCTGCATCCTCTTCTGTGAGTGGGCAGGGACTGCGTGGTGGCCGTGCATGGGCCTCTCGTCCTTCCACTCCAACAAGCCTTCACACTAGCGGTTGTCTTCCCTTGTCCAGTTACATCCTAATCACAGTCACTTCCCTGAAAAGACTTTCAACCACTTGGTTCTATTTTTGTTTTACTAACACTGATTTGGCCAAATCAAAACCTTAGTCAAACACCTCATTCGAGGCAACTGAACAGGTGAATACAGCAAGAGAAAAAAAATAATTTGACTGATCTCACTTTAAAATAAAACATGTAACCTCAAAAGGGCCCATCACACTGCTAATTATACTGAACTCCCTAGGCCAGTGGTGATGAACCCGAACCTTTGAGCCATAGCAGGCCGGCTGTATCACTGAAAGCTCTAAAAGGTCTGCTGTCACTGCCCTAGGCCCTTCTCCCATAGAATTTCTCCTAAACTGAAACTCTGCCAACACAGATACTTAACTCTTCTATGAGTAGACAAAAAACTGCATTAAGAGTTAAAACATTTTATCTTTTATTTTCTAAACATACTGGTTTAGATGGTCCAAGAATCCGCGCAGCTATTCCTTTGCCTTCATTGGTACAATCTTCACCATCTTTTTTCAAAGGGGTTCCCTATTTAAAAATAAAGTAAAACAATTATAACCTAAAAACAGAACAAAAAAGAAAGAAGAAAACCCAACCCAAACCAAACTGACAAATAACCACACTGTATTATATTGAAGAAAAGGATTTAATTTGGTAGGAATAAAAGTCAAGATTCCAGACCCAATTCTGCCCTGGCTGACGGCACAACCCTGCTAAGATTCTTATCCTCCCCTTGTCACGGAACCCACACAGCACCATCAGAGGTCCTTGGAAATAAAACATGAAATACACAGTGGGGGTGTCAGAGGGAAGGATAAGGTATGCTACCGACTTAAGGTGTGGCAGTGTATGCAATGCTTAAAGAACAAAAAAGAACACCTATATTACAGTTGAAAATAGAAAAAAATAGTGTCCTCTGAAAACATGAAGTGTAACTGGCCATACTTTCAAGGGCAAGAGATCTTAAAGAAAGGATTAAACTGTAACAGTGTGTTTTCCCGATAATGGGTGCCCCACTGTAAGATGGCCTTCCACAGATCCGTACCTCAGTGCTCTTGCACAGACCTGTCCCAGAGCAGATAAGGCTAACCTGTGTAACTACTGAAAAGGGCTGACCTGTGCCCTGCATAGTACTGCACAAATCATGGCATTTAACTTCCAACCCAAAGCCATTAGAGGCCCTGACACTTCCACCTGGCCTCTCTTGGACTGCATGAACTGACAAGCCAACTGCCCTGTCACAGGATACCCAAGCAGCACTATGCAAAATCCTCATGACACAAACAAACGCCTCCAGCCAACAAGTAATAGCTTAGCAGGCAAGTAAATGAGCGACCTTAAAGACATATTCTCAAGCTCCAAATCAAGCTTTCAGATAAATGCATTATCTCAAGAAACCCTCAGCAAGAACTAACCAGTTTACCAGATCCCAGGTTCCTCATACATAAAAAACTAAATGAGATAATAAAGGTTCACTGTTTTATTCCATAAATCTCCTAGGTTACTTGTTATTCAGCAACTGAAACTTTAAAAAAGTATTTTACAAAGTGCTTTGAGAGCACCAGATGATACTAAAAACAAGTTTCTTTTTTATAGGACTTCTCAGCAACTTTATTATGCAATGTGATTGTCAGGAAGGACACTGTGTGAAAAGTACCTCAAATATTCTTAAAAGTGAAACTATCTGAAAAATACTGAGAATCTGAGAAACGTTCCTTTACCAAATGTAAATCAGTACTTCTAAAGTACCTGAAAACAAGACAAAAATCCTCTTGTTTTGCTTAGCTTGTTCTGAAGATTTTAGACAAACACATTAAATGTAGTTTATACAAAAACTCTGAATTGTTGCCGAACTCGGGAATTACGTTGATAACATGATGAAATTCCTTTCCTTTGCAGATGCATCATTCATTGGTATTTTCTTTTAAATATCATTCACTTATAATATGTATCACTTAGTCAGGAGAAGTTTCATATACAGTCACGAAAGTGTGCTTACTGGGAAAATTCCATTTATACGACTAGGTTTTCCTTTGGGATACGGATTTCCTGGGATTGTCCCACAAGAAGATATCATAGCATGGGGAGCTTTGCAGCCCCCCTTGAAAGCCTGTAATGTGAAAGGGAAGATAGTGACCAAAAAAAAATCAAAAAACATAAAGTATTCTGGATATTGGGAAAAATATTAAAAGATTAAAAACATTTAACCTGTTCACTTATCAGGAGGCACTTAATGTCCTAAATAACAAATAGAATCACTGTAAGTGGAATTAGTAAAAAGGTAACACCTTAACACTGCTAACGTTACAACTACCAGACCTTTAAACAAAGATATCTTCATAAGTGGTTCCATAAACTGTACACAAAAATCTTACTATCTAATTTGTTTCATTTCTTCAGCCACCAAGAAATAACACAGTTCAAATTTATAAATACAAAAGTCATTGTACCGGGAAGGTAAGGAAGATACAAATGAAAGAGACATGGTCCTTGCTCTGAAGAAGTTATAACTTAGAAAAGAACTCATAAATAACAGAACACAGAGTGTCCAAAGAGCTATCCTTCAGAACAGTAAGAATTATCTGGACACAATGTTCAACATAACACTGCACAGTTATGAGACACTGAAGGAAGGGATTGGGTCTAGGCTATTTATTACTGAGACCCAAGCTTCTGAAATGCAGCCTCACACATACTGTTGATAATATGTACTATAATAAAAACCACTATATAAATGGTCCAATGGATCTGTATTATATGACTATGTAGCTGTATTTATGTTAGATATGTATAAAACTATATATAGTTTTGTAATTACATAAACATATTTTAAAAAGTATTTGTTACATATATATTTTTGTACAGTTGTATTAGTTTTATAGATCCACTCACAATACATATAATTATATGAGTTACATGATCTACTTCCCTACTAAATAACTCTAAAAAACATCTCAACTTTTTGGCTATTATAAATCTTATTAGGTAAATGCCCTTATATAAGAATTGTATATTTTTACTTATTTCTATAGAACAAATTTTTTCAGGCTAAAAGGTATGAACTTTTAGACTAACAAGTATGAATATTTTAAAGGCTCTTCAGGTTTACCTTGTGGAAAGCTGTACTAATTTACATTAATCAGAGAACTTTTCCATAGAACATAAAGCTCCAGAATATTTCCAAGAAGAAAAATGACACCAACAGAATGCTTTATAAGGAAAAAATGATAGTACTATGTTTGTTGTCATAAAAGATTTCAATCAAGAAAATATTAACTGAGAAAATTATTAAAGTAAAGCATCCTGGCTCAGATCTTGTCTCTGCTACAATGACACAGGACTAAGGCACAGCTGCCTGCCCTCTTTGAGTTTAGAGGAGGTGATGAGGATTGAATTGAGTAGTATGAGCTACAAGGCCTGGGATCAGCATCTTCCTCAAGCAGGTTTTTAATTATTATGTCAGTTTACAGGCATCACAACCATAGGAGCTTACTACCTTAAATGACGAATCAAGTTTTCTAGGTGTGGACAAGTATTGTACCCCAACTCTTATATATTTTAAACTAATAAAAGTGAAATTTTGCTTTAGTATTAATTTCTCATAAATCTGATTAACACAAGCCTCATAACAAAGCAAATTTGAAAAGTCAAGTTCCTTAAATACATGAAGTTAAAAACAAAGGCTTGGAACTGTGGCCAAGTGCTACCAAGGGTCCAAGACAAACACTGGATGAGGTTCAGGGGAGCGGCCAACCGACTTTTCACTCTTAAGCCTGCATAACGTGATTGGCCCAAACTAACATAGGAAGATGGGCACTTTCTTATTTAGAACATTTAGAAAAACTAGCTCCCCGTTTTCACAGCAATGTTCAGAAAATTACCTGTTCAAGTACTCTCTTGCATCGTTTCTTCTCAGACATATTTATCCTGAATAAATCTTCAATGGGCCGAGAATTTTGTGCATCAACAATATTCCTACCAAGGAAACACAATTTACCATTCTGCTTAAGAACAGGGATGTACATACAGAGGTCAGCAACTTCTGCTTATGTGAATACATTTGAGTACATGTTTCCCACTACACAAATGGAAAACAGGACAATTTACCCTTAACAGGCCACTTTCCAGTTTATACACAAGTAGTACGTTTACGTAACAGTGATAAATATAACTGAATCATCTGATTTTAGTGAAGTTATAAAGGAATACTATAAACGAAGAATCATTATTTCAAAAGCAGTATGTAGTTGTGCACACTTGTGAATACAGTTGTCTGGGAGGTGAAGCAGGGGCATTGCAGGGCTGAGGCCAGCCTGGGCAACTTAACAAGATCCTGTCTCAAATAAAACTTAAAAAAGGGCTGAGGACGGAGTTCAGCGGGGTTAGTGGTAGAGTGGTTGCCTAGCATGTGTAAGGGCCTGGGCTTAATCACTAGTACCAAAAACCATTCTGTAAGTTTTGAGAATACACCCTCTTCAATGAGTGTTAGAAGAGCTATGGCAACAGAATCACCCCACGTGTTAACTGCGTTCAAAATCATGGTTGATCTAAAGATCAAGTTCTCTCTTATCCTCTGTTTTAATGCACATGTATAAATATATAAGGGACTTTAAAATATATGCCTATAAGTGAACAACTTACACTCTTCAGTTATGCAAAGCATTAGATCCCCTCCTTTTCTCTTTGAGCTCTTTCTGCATGCCTACCTATCAAATGCTGCACTACGTACTTTCATATAAGACTATGGTATTTAAACTGCGTTACCCTCCTGAGTAGTGGTTATCCTTATTTTTACCAATGAGGGAAATAAGGCTCAGAAATTAAAGGTACTTTGCCCAGGTATGTGTCAGTAAGCAGTAGAACTTCTCTGTCTAACTCTTAAAGTCTTATGACTTCACTAACTTGCCATTCAAGTTTTTTAGAGTCTGAAGGCAAAGTAAGTTACTGCAATGCAGAAAAATCAGATTAAATAATCTTAAGTCCTACTATTTTGTAAGTTACAATCATGGTCACTGGGTATTTATGCACATGAAAAAGTCAGAATTTATCACTATCCTTTCACTATTTTATTACAGTTCCAGTTACTCACATAGTTCTGACACATTAGCACACATCAATGAGTTAAGAGACAGCTAGAAAAGCACCCAAATTTGAAGAAGATAGAAAAAAAATACTCACGAAGCTAACAGTTCAAGAGCAATGAGCTTGTCTTTACTGAAGGTGAAACAGTTGAGTATATTGACCACTTCCGCTGGGTGCACAGCCACCATTTTCTATGAACATAAAAAAAGCATTGTATTTTTCAACACAAAGCTTTCACACCAGACACGTCTCTTTTTGGAAAAACATGGATAAATATTATTAACATATACATTTAAGGTAATGTTTATGGACAAATATTATTGATGTTATTATTAACATTTAAGGTAAATTTATTTATGCAAGAGTAACTCCCAGCAACTCAAAAGTTCTAAAAATAGGTAAACTATACTTATGCTTTTTCAATGTAATATTTCAGATAAAATCAAATTATCCTGTGATCCCTTTTTAGTTCATTTTTCTCAATGTATTAATTTATAGAATGAAATACAGTAAGAAGTACTTTCCTCCAAAAGGTAGTATTTATACATATAAGGGAAGTTAGAAGAAAATTCTATGCACCAGTTGGGGTGAGAATAGGTGTGCCATGTATTAACACCCCACAAAAAGTGCAGTCCTTGGCGTTACTGACACATGAGAAAGGGCCCACAGACACATAAGCTAGGCAAACACTGAGGTAAACAGCCTCCCCTACTACAGAATTCTTTTGAGTCTTACGTTAATATGTACTGCAACAATGCTAAGATTTTTTAAATGGTTTTCAAACACTTTTATTAATGGATTACCAAAAGAATTGATAAAAATATGTACTTCTTTGAGTATTTTTAAACTGATATCTAAAGATGAATTTTCTTGCAGGTATTTATATATTTATAAAATCCTTAGAACTATTTAGCTCATTTAATTTACAGAAATGTTCATTATACAACCTTATACAGCCAAATTAGTCTTTAGTATCAAGTCACACCAGACTGTCAGAAAAGCTGAGAATTTAATACAAGTAAGTGTACTGATTTGTCCCTGTCATAAACTTTTAATTTAATTTAGAACTTTAATTCTAAAGTAGGTAGACAGGCAAGTGGGCCTCAAAGCTATTATGAACTTATTGTCCTGATAAAATATCATCAATATTTCCTATGGAGCTCTTTGCTTTGCTTGTCTCTGGTATGAGAAAAGACTTTTACCCCAGAGGATGACAGAGCCCTTTCTTTCGTAAAACAGAAGTAACTGTTAAGGAGGTGGAAAGAAGCACTAACAGACCCAGACCCCTTGTTATGCAGATCAGTTCAGGTATTCAGAATCTACTCTAAACTGCTTCTACTAAACCTGTCCATGCCTAGCCCTTGTTAGAAAATCTTCCTCTACAGCAAGATACTCCTGTTTAATCTAAATGTCCCCGATGATCTAAGTTCTAGACTTCACGATCCTATGCAGCAGCCAGGAGGAACTCGAGACCATTTAAAGGAATTTCAATTAAATGAAACTAAAAATACAGTTTCTCAAATTAACTACGCCCACTGGTAAGCATTCAACAGCCACACGGCCACCAGAATGGCCTGTACAGATACAGATTTCCATCATCGCTGAAAATCATTTGGACAGTACGGGACGAAAGAACTGTTAACTATGATCTGTTTGATGCCTCTTCTCAGACTAAGTATACAAGGATGAACATGGAGATTAAACAATAAAAGGAAGTGCATAAAAATAATTCAATTTCTTTATTTTGCTTGGTAATGAATACTCTCCCTCCAATTGGTCAATTAAGATCCTGGGGCATGTAATTTAATAATACAGTACATGCAACTTACACCAAACACAAAATTTTCCAACATAGTTTTTTTTAGTTAGTACATGTGCTTAGTACATGTTTACATTGCTTGTGTGGAGCTGGTACATGTACATAACAAATCTTAATTCTTTTTCTCATCCCGTTTTCCTCTCATCCCTCCATCTCTTGATTCCCTTCCCATTTAAGAAAGATCTATTGCCCTATCTCCTATTACCTATCTTTTATTTTGCTCTTTATTTATAGTTTGAGTTTCAAGATACTATGCAATATTTGAGCTTGTCTGTCTGACTTGATAGTTTGAGTTTCAAGATACTATGCAATATTTGAGCTTGTCTGTCTGACTTGTTTCACTTTAAGTCACATCCATTTTCGCACAAATGACTCAAGTTTATCTTTCCTGATGGTGGAGCAGTATTCCACTGTTGTGTAACACCGTGTTTTCTTTATCCGTTCATCTGCTGATGGACATATAGGCTGTTTAGTTTTTTCTGATGTAAACAAATTACAATTTGAGATAAGATTAAGGTAAACAGAGAATAACATTACTTAAATTCTTCATTCTAAACAAAAATAACTTACTTACATGCTGTAATGCCTTCATTGCTTTTAATTGAGGCTCAGCCCAGGAAAAATATCTCAGTAAATCAACCACCTGAAAGAAAAGAATTAGTTCAGCTCTAATGACAGTGTGCTTGCAAACATTTCTGTAAGATTTTAGTATCTGGAATTCTAGTCAATACATGCAGCCTCCTTGGTGTGAGTGATGAGCAAAGCCTCACAGTATAGACAGACTGGCCAACAGAGTTGCCATGTGTGATTATGTAAATTTAAATCACTTAAAATAACACTTGCCATTACAAAAGTTATCTTGGCTAATACTGGTCTAGAAAGGAAAATATCAATGGAGGAAAAAGAGGATATCTTAGAACAGGAGGCTGAAAAATACTAGATGAAAATAAAACAACAGCCCAGGAACATAAAAATGTAGTATGAATGGAAAATACAATACAATGGAAAACTGTTTTAATCACTAACAATGGTGTGATGTTGCGATTTACTATAGATCCACTAACTTCTACTCTTTCACTTACACCACTCATGTCATAGATCTATTCCCTAAAAACGTAGGGATTTACTACAGCAACTTCTACATGGAGGGCTGGGTGTGGTGGCACATGTCTATAATCTCAGCACTGGGGAGGCTGAGGCAGGAGGATCGCTGGGAGTTTGACACCAGCCTGGGCTACAAAGTGAGCTCAAGGCCAGCCTGAACTGCATAGCGAGACCTTGTCTCAAAAAGACAAAAAAAAAAAGCTTCTACATGGAACAAAATTTTCAGAGTTGAAATACCCAGGCTCTTGCTGCTTCCACCACCACTCACGACCACCAGAGACTTGAAATGAGTGGGAGGGACACTGTGAGCCCGCTAATAAGAGATGAGCCAGGGACTGAGCTTACAAGTTGGAAGTTTTGGCACAACCATCACCCTGCCTCCGAGGATATTGGAAAGATCAGAAAAAAAATCTTAAAATTTGTGTATCTGTATTAACTATTTTTACTGTAAGTAAGTGAAAATGTGCTAAGGTTTTAATTATCCTACAAAGCAGGGCCAATGGCATAAGCTGAACTAGCACATAAAGAAAATAAAAATATTTTCATTCTTTATGAAGAGTTGCACAAATAGCAAAGAAATAATAGTGCGCTATTACAAACAAGTATTCCAGTTAATTCTGGAAAGACTACCTATCCTTACTATAATGGAAATAGAATTTCTACTATATAGAAAGACTGTACCTTATAAATCATAAAACACATTATCAATCTTTAATATAGTAAGTGTATTTAGAGTATCTCAATTTACTTTGGCAAAGTAAAATTTGCACTACAAAAGGTCTTCTCCAAAGTGTCACGCACATTTACAGATACACAAATGGGGACAAAAGTTGTCAGTTGTAAGAAATTATAAATCTTTTTGTTATGGTTTGTGTCTGGATGTCCCCCAAAGCCTCATGCAGTCATGGGGCAGGCTTTTAGAGTTTATGATTGATTCATGGTCCAATGCTGGGATTATGGGTGTGAGTGCTACACCCGCCCTGGGGCTGATAGTTTGCATCTATAAGGGAGAAGAAGAGGCCTCTTGCTGCCACTCCTCCCTTTTGCTCTTGTTGCTTTTGCTATCTTCTGCCTTGTGCCACTCTGCCTTGGTGCCAGCCAAGTATGGACTGAAACCTCCACAAACTGTGAGCTAAATAAACCTTTGCTTCCTTAAATTTGGGTGTCAGGTATTCTGTCTCAGCATGAGAGAAAGGAAACCAAGACACTTTTCAAAACTTAAATTTTAAAAAGAGCAAAAGTGACTGTGTAAAGCAATGGAAAAGCTGAAAAACTATCATTAAAAGGGCAGTACAGGTACAAATCATAAAATAGCCTTTAAGAATTTAGCAGGCAGAATTTGCACAGGTTTAGTTACTCAAGCTTTTAAGTTTTTAAGCCCTGGAGAAAGGAAAATTAGACCACTTACTAACTTGACCTATGGGTACATCCACTGTTCACTCCCAGAACTGCTCTCCAGATGTCCATTTCTATTTCTACCTAATTTCTCCACCAAAAATTTTCCTAATTTCTCTCAGAAATACTCTGTATCTCTTTTCTTAAAATTACTGAGACTCCCTAAAGTGGGATAAAAGTTTTAACTAAACTATCATACTTAAAACACTAGTCATCTTGTGACAGTAACAGAAATGACTTTTTAGACAGTGTTTTTTATTGTTTGTTTTTGTTTAGTAGCTTCACATAAGAACGTATTTCAATCATTTATTCAAGTCTTCTTTTATATAATGTGGTGAATTTTATAATTATTGCGTTAAAAATACCATACAAATAAGGGTAAGTCTACCATTAGAAATTTATGCATTTTTAATTTTGTACCAACACTTGGAAATGCTCTTTTTTTAGGCAGTGCACTTTAAAATCATTCCAGAATAAGAACTGTGGTTAAAGTGGATGGGTTTACAAAATATGCCTGACTTAGAAATTCTGTAGTTTTATGTTCAACCTGAAAGCACCTAAAGTTCATAAATACAATAGAATTTTTAAAATTCTGCATTCATTCAGCAGGGTAAACAGACAGCCAGAACACTTGTGTAAAAAAGTTATTTCAAAACAAGTAACAAGGAATACCTGTTCACTAGAGAAGTATCCATGCACATATTCAATTGCTTTTAGTTTGTATTCTGTCAAAACAGCCTAAAAAAACAGAAAAACAGCATTAATATACACAAGCACCACAGTGATACGCACATATCAAAACTACTCAAGCAACTCAACAGTGACATGTCTTCTCTGGAATACAAAAGCAGCTAAAGTCACTGTGGTGACAGGACATTCCACCTTCTCAAGTTCCATACTGTAAAGGATACACTGATGTGCCCCCAACCCTCCCTACACAATAGAAAGAAAATAAAATTCTAATAAGTAAGATTCACCTAAGAATTTCAAAACATCCTCCAACTACATTATTATTTATTAAGACTAAATATATCAGGCATTACTTACTCATCAAGTACTTACTGAGTACCAATTATGTTCTAGGTGAGACAGAAGAGTAAGACAAGGTCAGTATTTCTACAGGGATTTAAGAGTGCAAGGAGCCAGAGGGCCCTGAGATCAGTGTCTGTTCTAACTGGCAGTGTGGCCTGTGAGAGGCACTTGAAGTCCTTTAGGACTCCTCATTCATAAAAGGCTATACCGCTTACCACCCACCTAAAAGAGACACTGCGAGGATTACAATAGCCAACATTAGATCTGACACCTAACAGGTACTGAACAAGTCATGTTTCTGTATGGAATCTACAAGTGAGAGAAAGTGGTGGCCTTAACCTAATATTATCGAGAGCCAATTATAAAATCACATGCTCCCCTTGCAGCTATTTGCCAATCTTAGAGATGGAAATACCAGGCTATCACAGTTTGACAGCCATTAATCATAAAAAATAAACTACTCACAAAGCTGGCACGCACCTTGGTGGTACCTGGGTTCCATTCCAGCACTGTCCAAAAAAACCATAAAACAAAACAAAAAAACCTAGTCCTTTTGTCCTTGTACAAAACAGTTATACTTTCCATATACTTGTGTATCATTCTGCTAGGAGAAAATATTAAGACCAGTTAACTAAACATTCAGGGTGCTCAGTAGTTTAATTTTCACTGGAGTGGGGAAAGATGGTATTTTGGGTAATGCACTACAAAGAGTTTGCTTTTCATTACTGGACACAGTAAGAAAGAGAATTTCTGGACTAAATTCTGGACAGTGCTGATGCCGACATGATCCGGTTCCTTCATCAATGATGGGAAGCATGGCTGCATCCTCAAGAACATCATCGTGCTCTGGAGTCCAGACTGCCTCAGTCTGAGTATCAGGCTCCCTACTCACCGCTATGTAAGCTTGAGCTGCCTACTTAACCTCAAAGACTAGGTCTACCATTTGTAAGATCAGGAGCATCTGTCTCCTGGGTGCTAGGAGGACCAAATCAAACAGTAAGTGCTCACTAACTGATGACTATTATCTCCTTCAAAGCACTCAATTGCTTTTTCTGCATTTTTCTTACTTCTTTTCCTAAAGTCTTATTACATGCTATTTTGCTTTAATGACAGTGGTTACCCAGAGTGACACTCAGGAAACCGGATGGCCTCGTTTAAACTGACAATTACACAGTCTAAGCAGAATTAAGATAAAATCAGTAATAACGCTCATTTTACGTGCTTATATTTTGTTCCATTTTTATAGATGACTACAATGTTTATGCATCTAATCATTTCATAAATACTGAGTGCAGACCAAATATAGGAACCTAGGTTGCCATCTTACATGAAAATAACTTTCGCCTCTGGGAAATCACTACTTTCCCTAATATTTACCACAAGACATTTTTACAGTGCGTAAGGAAAGAACATACACATGGACACTGTTTCACCCAAAACCAGAAATCTGCCTGAAAGCACAAGTATTTTCTTATAAACACTATTTTTAAAAAACTGCTCATGAACCAATTGTTACAGCTTCTAAGTACCCACCTAACAAACTGGCATTTTGGTTCAAGTCTTAATTGGGCAAACTGGATTTGTGCTACTAGAAATTTGTTCAAAGGGGAATATTCAATTCTCTCAAATACGTGAAAATCACACAAGCCAATTTGAAAAAGATTACTGTATAAACTAAAGTAAATCAGCAGCTCCAGGAATAATTTCAGCAATAACCTCTTAAGCTGAAACAAGCACCAGAGCACACGGCAGTAATTCCTGTGCTGTAGGTCAAGAGATGGAAAGGTATGAGATAGTAACCGCCCTGCAGGCCTGAACAAGGCATCTGGGGTGGATATAACTACGGTTCATCAAGTCCTCTCAGATCTAAAGAACTAAGTTTCTTCTTGTTTTTGTACTTCGTGATATTGCTGAGCTCAGGACTGCATTACAAAACTGTTGCTCTCTGGATTATTCCTGGACGTAAGATACACAAAAACTTCAGAAAGGAGCAAAAACTTAGAACGCAGGAGAAAAAAAGTGCTTTGAAATTCAAGGTACTGTTAATATTCAATATATTGATGGCCAATCCCTAAGAAAGTAATTTTCAAAGATTTCCCGTTTTCGGTCATTCTCCTGTAACTGAAAGATGAGGAAACACTCAGAAATATTAAATTGCTTATCCTGAATTACAAAGTTTTACATTAAATGCTGTAGAGCATCTCAGAACCAAGGACTGAATGTAATTTCCACAGCCCCGCACTGACTCTCAAGGTGCGTTAACAAACTTCTATTCGTGAGCTGTCTCAAGACACGATCTTATGCGCTCCCCATAAATTCAAACCCACTCGGCAATCCCAGGACCTTTATTCTGCGCCATCTATGCAATCCACCCAAGGAATTAAACCACTGCAAGTAGGGTATGTCAAGGAATCGAGTGTAATTACCTTTCTGATTTCATCCAGCACCGTTTCAAAGGATTTCTTGTCCATCTTGACGACCGCCTCGCCGCGTTTAAGTTATACTTTCAGTTACAGAGAGCTCATCCCTGTTCTGCTCCGTTGACGGCAAAAAAGGTTTAGAGCTGAAGAAGAAAAGCACTCTACGAGCAGGAGAAAAGAGGTAGAGTATTGCAAACGCCGCAAAAATTTCTAAAAACTGACACTCAGAAAAACTTTTTATTAAAAGCAAAAGGCAGTCCCGCCGCGCTTCTTCACACAAAGCTTCGGGGAAGAGCCGGTGCTCCGAGTCCCGCAGAGAGACCGGAGGCGGGAGCCTGCGCGGCGCCGTGCGGGGCGGCGAGGGCCGGGCGCGGCCGCC